ATTTTGAGCTTTTGTAACCTACCAAATAGTTTAGATTGACCATACAATCTTTGGTTATATGACATAGTTTGAAACAACCTCTGTAAAAATGAAAACCTGATGATTTGCAAACACACAGCAATGTAAATAGCAAGAGAGGTTGAAAAATTGAAATTTGCTATTTTCTCATCTATCTTTGACCCTCATTCGAACTAGTTAAAGTATGAAAATGTCTGTTAACAGTTTAATGTAACGTCCGAAACGTGCTAACAGCATACCAGAAAGTGCTGTTAAAATGGCTGAATATTTTTTATGAGTCACTTTTATTGAGATTTTTTCTGATAAATTACAATTAAGGATATACTAAAGCAGCCAGCCATGCCTTGCATCACAATGTGTGGCTTCAATATTTGATGTTTTATAAGTCAATTTGCAGAAAATTCAGATATTTTACGGAAAATTTCATATTTTGCATCATATTTCTTCATATTTTTATATTTAGATCTAAATGAAATTCTCAAAATAGTGTTTTTAACAGGAGTGTGCATTGTGAAACCGTTACTTGCACATATGATCGATAATTAGTTGAAATTTGCAAACTATGTGTTAACAAACAAATAGTGTAACGTCCGAAACGCCCTTCTTGAGCTTACACAAAATTATTGGATCTGAAAGACCTGATTTGTGTCTTGACTTATGTTAAGACTTATAATAACATATTTCATAATAATTTATTCACTCCAGATACCCTCAAATATGGATTATCATCATTTATTTGGTATTTTTTGTTTCGGACGTTACATTTGTTTCGGACGTTACAACTGTTAACGGAAAATTGGTTTTAACTATAAAATAGTATTGTAATGATGTATTGCAAATTTCTTTTTCGGGGTGGGTAGCCGCCATGAAATGTTCAACAAATGTTATAAGAAAAAGGTCGTGCAGTTCATATATTTTCTGCTACTTCAAATTGAAAGTTGTTTCGGACGTTACAAAATTGTTTACGGAAAATGAGACAACTTTTTCAAATTTTGAGTATATTTCTAGTATAAGCGCTACTACAATTAAATTATATTTACTTTTAATTTAATGACTTGGAGTAACTAATAAGCTTATTCAAACCATAAACAATCTCATTAATTTATTGTTCTAGTGGGTTAAATGAGGGTCTACATTGTTTACGGAAGATGTAACGTCCGAAACACCATTTTCAATTGCACTGTTCCATCAAAATACAGGAGTTAATTCAGATTACTGTTAACTTTCTTTAAGATCCACCCATACTCATTAATCATCAATAGAAAAAAAACATATTGTTAGTGGGTACATATTTTTTTCGGCTCTAACCAAAAAGGTATGTCAATTTTGTTACAAAATTCCGTAAACAATTGGCTGTTCAGGGATAGCTGATGCACATAAAGCAATGTTGAAAATTTTTCATTAAGCTATGGGAGGTCAATCTAGGTCCATGCTACAAGAAAAAATTGTAATTGATTTCTAATTCTTTATCTTTGAAAAGTTTCAGGCTCTCAAAGGGCCATTTAGGTATTTGGTCATAGTTAAAAAAACCAGTGCCATATGACAGTTTCATTCCTCAAGATATGTCTTCTCATAATTGTTCTGCGAAACAGAAATGAGAATCATCTTTATTCTTTAGAAACATACCACCTAATTTTTGTATTGTTGGTTTTATTGTGGTTACACATGCTCTCCGCTCTCTCCTTTCTCTCACTCTCTCTCTCTCTCTTTCGCTCTCTCTCTCTCTCTCTTGCTCTCTCTTGCTCTCTCTTCCCTCCTCTCTCTCTCTCTCTCTCCCTCAGACTCTTTTTCTCTCTCTCCCTCCCCTTTCTCTCTCTCTCTCCCTTCCTTTCCCTTTTCCTCTCTCTCCCTCAAACTCCCTCTCTCTCTTTCTCGCTCTTTTTCTCTCTCTCACACACTCACAAACAAACAAGAGAGAAATTAAGGGGAACCATTTGCAGAGATTTATACATTTTGCTGAATTTGCTCTCTATATCTCGTGTTCCATACTGGTATATACATGTACTTTATTCAAATTTCAAAATATCAGTTTCAGATATGCCTTCTTAAAATATATATTGGAAGTTATTGAAATCTCATTCAAGAAAGCCTTTTTTGAGCAGACTGTTTGAAAAGCCAGAGAAGATGCAAACTAAAATAGTTTGTTAAATTTGTTTCCACGCAAAGTAAAAACAAACAAATCTCTTATGCACGTTAGTCGTAAGAATTTCAGTGTCTCATTTATTTTTATGTGAATCTGTGTCTTATAACAAAATGTACAAAGTATTTTTGGCGATATGTACCTTACAGCACTGAAAAAGATACATGGGAGCTTATGAAAAATTATGAATAATTATGAAATTCTCTGCCAAAATCTCACTCTCTATTCAATAGTGAATCCAGTGATAGCTCCCATATGAACCAAAATGTATTTTTAAATTTGTACCTTTTTCTATGGTCTCTACTTAATGGAAGCCATGCATCACAGAGAAGTTCCATTATCTCTCCTTGTCTGAAACATAAATGGACAAAAAGAATAATTATCACCATCAATCAGGCATGTTCTCTTTGTGCCAAACTTATCGGTTGTATCTATCCCTCAACGGAAACCCGGCCCCCCTACTCAGTGTTATTTAGGGTACGCATATGCTCGTTCCCTCTTTTTGAAAGCACCCCCTATCTGAGGACTGCCAACATTTTCGAACCCCCCTTTCGCGGGCTTTTCACGGCTTTTCCTGCCTTGGAGACCCCCCTAAATCAGGAAAAATGCTCAATGTACCCCCCTAAATTCGGAATAATTTCTCAGGAGTACAAAGAGATGAGAGAAAAAAAGAAAAAACACCCCTTTTTAAAGAAATCTTCGGGTGAAAAGTCAAATACACCCCTTTTTTTACAATTCTCGGGCCGGACTTTGTCGCACGAAAAGTACCCCTTTACCGGACATTTTGGCAACAAGCATGCGGTCATTCCGACCCCTGAGTGGGGGGGCCGGGAACGGAAAGCTTTTGATTCTGTGATAATGCGTAGTTTTTTGTGTGCAATAAACATGGGAAATGTCAAAATAAAGTGAAAATCAAACAAACAAAAACAAGATGTTTCCAGAGATTGGCAATGTTAAAATTAGCATCCCATTGTAAAGCTAATTGTTGTTCAGACCTTAGGTTTAGATTTGTATAAAATGGTTAAAAACATAAATTCCCCCATTTTTCCTGTTTGCAGGCATTTTGGGCTAAAATTTTACTTTAAATATTATTTTACTAAAATATATTTTCTTTCTTTCTGTATTTTGTTTTGACTGACGCGCACCGCCAGTTGAGAAGGCCTGGTCTATACCATTAGAGTAATATTTTGTTTTCCCAGGAGAAATTTCAGCCGATTTAATCTAACAATTTGCCATTGTTGAGGTAATAGAGAACACACAATAAACAATTACTTTTCTCCCTAGTCATGCTGAAACTTCTGAAAGCAAATGATGATAAAGCAAATTTGTATTGAATTTTATTACTTAAAAAGGGAATTTCCCTAAATGTAATATTCTGTAAATTTAGTACGGGTATTCCAAACTATTAAACATGTCCTGTTAAAACTAGAATGATGTAAACTGAATTGTTGTGTGTACATGTTCCATGTATATCCTGTTACCATATTCATTTAACTTTAACTATATTTTTTCTTCAGAAAATTTGTGAGAAATAGTCTGTGCAAACAGTTTAACAACTAAGGGTTTACTCTAGTACATGCATTGTACCCAAACCATTGTAATATTGAATTCAATTATACCCTCAGTCGGTCATGTTCTGTACATGAACATCTGATTGTATTGTTCAATATCCATTTTGTGACCATGCTCCATATCACACATAATCAGTATTATTGTTCGGGGAACGCCGGGTGCCAAATATCGAAAGAAATAGAACGAGACAGACACCTCACTATCTCGATCAAGGATAACAGTGGATTTAGACAGAAAAAAAACGTCTGGTTGGTAGAGTCTGACACGATTATTCTCTTATGTCATTTTCCTTCTAACATTGATGAAATATGTTCTACTCTGAGGTGACGTCACTCTCCTCGGGGATCAATATCATCTTTGTGTGTGTGTGTGTGTAATTTGGGTTTTTACAGACGTGTATCAAATTTATGTCTGGGGACCGACCTTAAACGTCACCATCAGAAACACATGACACAGTCTCGAACTAGGGTCTGCTGGCCGCTGTGTCAGTTGGTAATGGAAGATGGAGAGCTGACCGAACCATGTTTTCATTACCACCAGACCAATTGACATCTCTCACTAGACTAAATCACCTGTACTGTACAAGTTCAGCCTAGTCTGCAAGCACAGACCCTTGTCATCATAATACATAACAGTGTGTCTGGAGTGTAAGACTATGTCGAGTGCACTGTCTCAGTGCTGCACACTGTAGGCTCTGTGCTTTAGCTGCTCATGTAACAGCCAGAGACTTACAGAGCTAGGCTAACCTCTAGACTTTATGGATTTGTGTTTGAGTGTCGAATTACAGTCTGCGCCTTCAGACTAGCAAAAGCATTATGAAACTCATAAATATTGAGGGCGTGTCTTGTAGAAAGAAAAAAAAACAACGGGATGTGCATCAACATGTAGGAATGTTAAATCATTTTTCTCATTTTTCTTATAAGAACCACATCATGTAATTCATATTTTCATTCTGACGCTTGGCTAGCTTCTATAGACTGTGTCAACCAATCGCTTTCATAGATCAAAGCAAAGACCCACGGGAAGAGTAGATGCATGTTTACTACAGTTTATTTGAGGAGCTCGCCATTGCCAGACAATCCCACACAAAGATTTGGTAAGATCAGAGGATGACGCATCAATATTTAGAGCCACAGGGTCGTTAACTCTATGCTAACACTGTCTGAGTTAACCATTCAATGCCCTTCTGGCTCCAAGCTGTTGTCATACCTACGTGCTTTTTGCCCTGTCATTAATGCCGAGTCACTGTTCCTTCCTCGTTTTCCTCCAGAAGTCACCCGATCCTGCATCTGTAGCATCAAGTATAAACCATGGCAACTGAACTGAGCCGAGAAGATTTCCTCTCGGGTCCTTACACCTGGAAGTCCATGCGACCTTGTGACCTCTCCAATTGCACCAAAAAGTAAGTTTTTTTTTTCCTTTGTCATGTTTTCACCTCTTGTGTTTTTGTTTTTGTTTTTTTTCCTCAAATTATTTTTTAACATCTCACGCTCAATAAACTGCTCTTATTTATAAAAGAGAATCTACAATGTACAAGCTTAGCTTTTTACTAGATTCCCCCATATTTTAAAGAAAAAAAATCACAATTCTACAAAGTTCATTTTCTGCCCTTTTATATGACACCTCAATCAGGAAAAAATGAGCCAGGAATAACAAAGTTCCGTTTGTTTAAAGTAATGCTTGAATTTCCATAATATTATTAAACGAATCCTTTCCACTGGCTGCCTCCCCTACCAACAAACAAAGAAGATGAAAGACTATATGCATGGCTGATCCTCATTGAAACATAGTTGATTCTTTTGTCAACTCTGTTTGTTGCTATGGTAGGTAGGCAGCCAGTGAAAGCGAATTCTTTTTATAAAATTTTGGAAATGCAAACACTACTTTAAACAAACAGAAATTTGTTATTCCTAGCTCCTTTGTCCTGATTGAGGTGTCATATGAAAGGGCAGAAAGTGACGTTCTAGAAATGTGATTTTCTCTTTGAAATTCAGATACTGTTCGCCAAATGACTTTTTTTGGTACCCTTTCTTCAAATTGTTTTCAACCACTGATGTTTGGAATGTGCATCATTTAAGTTGCATCAAATGAAGAAGTAGGATCTAAGCTTTACGAATATGTGTCATTTATTAATTATAATTGTGATTAAGTAATGATAAAACATGGATAATTCTCTGTTTCGTTTTCTTCTGGGAAGCACTGTATATGTTACCAGGTATGATTGAATGGCATTGTGAACTTAACTGAAACATATATTTAAGTATCATTATTATTATTATTATAATTTTTTTTTTCGGGGGGGGGGGGGGGCTGATCCAAGTTCTAGTAAGTGCTACCAGCTTGATAAACTCATCAGATATGATGAAATCTTAGATGTGATTGATATATTTTCATAGACATTCACTTGCCTATACATACATGTAGATCTATATACCGGTATGTTAAATTTGTTGAATACCGTATTTGACCTTTTGGTTCTTTGGTTCTTTGAAATCGTAAATCAGCCCAATAAATGTTTGTATCCTTGTTTGTATGGACTATCAGTATCGCCCTGAAATGCAGGAAGTTTGAAATAATATTTTGCCACACTCTCAGAACGAGGAAGTAGTCGGCACATTTATTTACAGGAATACTATCTAGGTCAATAATTCAACTTGCAGATGCACTCATGCACGAGAACCATTCACACAATTATGAAAGCGCCATTAATGATATTATATATATTGATGATATTATTTATGCTTGTCTTTTGAAGAAATACATGTACATATATTAAATGCGACGTCCTGTTATTGTTTTTCAATGTGAAAATTCTGACGGCATATATTAGGCGGTGTTATGTCAGGTGAACATTTAGGCTTGTCTGACCTAGCAACAATCATTGCATGCACTCTGTATTCTGACTTGTTAAAGCATTACTTTGCAACAGCTTTATGGATTAGTTGTGTTATTGCATTTGTTTTTCTTCTAAAGAGGTAATAGGCATTAAATTAGAATGAGTTATGAAATATTGCAATTCTCTAAATGGCTTCAAATAAAATATTACATTTGTCCCTGGTATCAATTTTAAAAGCATTTTTTCAAAATGTTTTTTTTTCTCCAAATTTTACCTAGAAAACAGCTTGCACTGAATGTATGTTTTTGTTGATCGGACTATATTGGATCTAGACTATAATATTAAATTGTGTATGATAGCGGTCATTCAAAATGATAACGGTCATTACATACATGTACCTGCATAAATAACCCATCTCCAGTTCGGACATATACATGTACATGGTGGAATTAATGTTCAATGTTTTATATTTGTTTGTCATTGCAGGCAGATCTTAGATTACTTTGAGAACAGCTACAGTCTCAATGAGAGCATCTTTGCTGCATTGAAAAGTAAGTTTCTGGTTTTAATAATGGAACTGAAAGTGTACCAATCACCTTAAACAAATTGTAATAAGTATTGAGTTAAAGTGACTATGTAACATTGTTGAAGGTTGATGAAAAACTGTAATTTGGGTATGAAATGCTACTTATTATATTCCTTCTACTGTACCGACCCTCTAACGCACATTTTTTAATGAAAGAAATGAATAAAGTGAACTTGAACTTGAAGATGCTTATAATGCCACAACAGTATGGTATCTTTGAATGCATCTCAATACTATGTATTTTCTTCCCCACTAGCGAAAGATGCATTCTATAGAGCACCCGACAGGCTCCGCCTCCCCCTCATCTTCTACTATGCCCACACAGCCTGCGTATACATCAACAAGCTCATGTTGGCCGGCCTTATCAAGGTATGATATCTTCTTCTTTCCTAGTTGCGGTACATCATTGGCAGATCAGGGAATATCTTTTTATTTGGGAGAGGGGGCGGTTGAGGGAGATGCATGTCTAAAAAACAAGTCCAAAATGTGTGCCTACATGTATTGGTCTGTTTTGTCAAAGAGTAATATGCCAAGTTGTGTTTTGTGGGGCTGGTTGAGGACGGGGAGGGGAGGGGTGCCCTCAGTGCCCCTGCATATGGCTATATCAAGCTTCGTTAGCCTACATGCTCCTGTATTCACTCACAACCTATGAACAATAGGAGAGGGTGACACGTGCCCTCTGCGCCCCCTAGATCCACAATGAATATGGTGAGATTTGTTAGCAGGATGGTGCTACATTATTTGCAGAGCCCGTAGTCTATATATAGAAACCTCATGATCGAATCTTGTTTGTACTACAAGACTCTGAGTAAACACTTACGCAAGCCTCATGCAACTGTCACTGCTGTCAGTAGCAACCTTTTGTTGACAGATTTTGCATGAAGCCCACTGCCCTTTCCTATTCAATACCCAAAATGATCATCATGTAAGGTGTTTTGTTGCCCACAGGGACCAGCTATATGCAGTTCTTTTAAAAGCTTAAGAAATTGATCGATCACATTCAGTAGCCACTTTTTTAATTCTTTATGTATATTTATATATTGTCTGTCCTTGTACAGGGGATTCTTTCATTTGAAATAATTACAACATGAAGGATTTGCTCTTCCTGGGCTTCGGTCTATTTTGCCGTTGTTGGTGACACTTACCCACAAGCCATAATGTTTGTCCTACTTAGCAACAACCCCATGTATGCAATTTGAATTCTGATTATTGAGATGCATTCATTCTTAACAGGTAAATTAACTAATTTGTAAGAGGAGCTTCACAAAGCCATATACCTAAAAGTAGTTAAGTTACGAAAAAGAAATGTCTATTGATTTTTAAACATCAGTCAGTAGACTTATAACGCAAGGTGCTTGATTCTTTTATTATTATGCATCTTGAATTGAGCACATCATTCCTAGGGATTAAAAAGTATTCAAATGGAGACATTTTGAGAGGTTTATTACTCATATTAAAGAGATCCTAATCCAGATAATCCTATACGGTATGTGTTACCAATTTGTTCACTTTTCAAGTTATTAATTGTGTACACGAAATGTTGCCTAAGTAGTTTTGAGAGGTTTATTACTCATATTAAAGAGATCCTAATCCAGATAATCCTATACGGTATGTGTTACCAATTTGTTCCATTTTCAAGTTGATTGATTGTGTACATTGTGTAAATAGCCTATGCAGGGAAGCAGCAATATGCTATTGTATCTAAGTTAATCTCATTAATTAGGTGCTGTACAGTTAATTTTTGCTTCGCGATCACCTCCATTCCGTTGATAAAATATTCATTGATGGTGAATGTTAGTGTTGATCCTATTCTCATTAATATTATTATAATAATAATAATAATAAATTTATACAGCGCAGCTTTTATACAAAATATATTCAGCTGCGCTGGTTAAGAGCTCCTTTTTACTAAATTCTACAAAAAGATCTCTCAGTTGAACAAATAAGTTTTTAAATTGGATTTGAAAACATTGAGAGATGGAGTGCTTCGTATTTCTACATTATACATAGTGCTACATGTGCATGTACCTCATTTCTTGTTGCCTTAGCGATGCCCTCCATTCCGTGTATAAATATACGTTTATGGTGAAATTTTATGTTTATCTGATTCACATTTCTTGTTGCCTTAGCAATGCTCTCCATTTCGTTTATAAAGTATTCATTTATGGTAATTCTTGGTGTTAATGTGATGTTTTGGTGCTATGTCACTTCCCTTCCCAGTTATTAACAAAAGAGAAAGTGCTGAATCATGCTACGTGTCCATGTATACGTGCATGTTATTGTCTAGCAATTCTGTCTATTCCATATGGTAATTCATTTATATTAATTTTCGGTGCAAATGTTTTGATTTAGTGCTATATGTCACTTCCCTTCCAAGTTATTATAAAAAGTGCTGATTCATGCTACATGTACATAGTCACGTCCATGTTGTTGCTTAGCAATGCCGTCAAGTGCATCATGGATTGTTTATTTTTCTTGAAATGTGTATAGATATATTCAGTTATCATTCTATACCACTCCTAACAAAATCATGCTCATATGCAAAGTGCCGGGCTGTGCCCTGTTGCATAACAAAGCCCTTTGATAAACTCTGTTGAATGTTTGTTTTGCTGGTTTTTTTTCTGCAATATTTGCTCTGTCAGAATTCTACTCTGCCCTCCTTCCAGCGTTAAGGCTAGCGAGACGTCTCTGATAACAATAAGATAACTATAACAAATAGGTCCTTCCCAAGTCACTCCCACTTTTTGTGTACATGTAAAAGACTTGAGGAAAAGTTTGTTCTAGAACACACCTTTTATGCTGATGACTATATGGAGCATGATTTTTTTTCAAGATATGAATTATGTCAAGTCATGTTCGCATGTGGTCATGTTTATTTGCTTATTATGCTTCAGACGTCTCTGATAACAATAAGATAACTATAACAAATAGGTCCTTCCCAAGTCACTCCCACTTTTGTGTGTACATGTAAAAGACTTGAGGAAAAGTTTGTTCTAGAACACACCTTTTATGCTGATGACTATATGGAGCATGATTTTTTTTCAAGATATGAATTATGTCAAGTCATGTTCGCACGTGGTCATGTTTATTTGCTTATTATGCTTAAGACGTCTCTGATAACAATAAGATAACTATAACAAATCGGTCCTTCCCAAGTCACTCCCACTTTTTGTGTGTACATGTAAAAGACTTGAGGAAAAGTTTGTTCTAGAACACACCTTTTATGCTGATGACTATATGGAGCATGATTTTTTTTCAAGATATGAATTATGTCAAGTCATGTTCGCACGTGGTCATGTTTATTTGCTTATTATGCTTAAGACGTCTCTGATAACAATAAGATAACTATAACAAATCGGTCCTTCCCAAGTCACTCCCACTTTTTGTGTGTACATGTAAAAGACTTGGGAAAAGTTTGTTCTAGAACACACCTTTTATGCTGATGACCTAATTCCATATGGAGCATGATTTTTTCAAGATATGAATTATGTCAAGTCATGTTCGCATGTGGTCATGTTTATTTGCTTATTATGCTTACGTGCCACCTTGTTCCATGCCCAATATTTGCTTAGTATTAAAATAGCTCAAGTGCAAATGCTAAAAGAGTTTTAACTTGACAGTATCCGATCAAGTTCTACTGAAAATCATACTTTGCAATAAAAGAAGAAAAGACCATGACACAGGCCAAAGAAATTTTATTTCTTTTTCAATCACATTAACAAATATTGGTGAATTCTAAGGCCTCTATTCATCTCTTAAACAGATGGACAGATTTTTACCCTGTGGAATTATGAAAGAAGAGAGAATGTATTCAATGATAAACACAATCTGAACCTTCAGAATATGGACATTATGGCTTTTTGACAATTTGGAGATCCTATAAAACATATTGCCAACTCTATGGTTCAATTTCTGAGTCATACTCCTCACAAAGACATAAATGTATTTCACTGACTTACCGTAATTAACGGTGTATTAACCGCACCTTTTCGCCGCCGAAAAAAATTCAAAGTCGGGGGTGCGGCTTATACACGGTACACACAAAAACAAAAACAAAACAAAAAATAATAATAATTTAAGGGCGAAAAAGAGGGGTGCGGTTAATTACACGAGGGCGGTTTATACAATGTTAATTACGGTATAAACAAAGAATCTGTTTCCCAACCTTGTGCCCTGAAATATTTTTTCCCCTCTTATATATACAAACATGTACTTCTGTTGAATTCAAGAAGAGTCTTTTTTAAAGAAAAAAAATCCTTTGACTGATCAAATGTATCAACAACAAATCCTTTTTGTTTTCAGAAGATGATATGACAGCCTACTAATCATCAATCATTTCTTTTATACAGGCCTGATAATTACCTTATTTAAATTGGTTTCCTGATTTTTTATTTTTTATTCCTTGATTTTATCCCTATTTCCCTGAATTTCACCTTATTTTCTCTATTTTTCCCTATTTTCCTCCAATTTTCTTACTCAAAAGAGGGGGGGGGGGGAGTGCTCACTATCACCCCTGTTTATATCCTTTACATTACTATAGGGAATTTGATTGTGTAACTTGAAGGTTGAAATTTTGATATCAATTAACTTTGTGCAAGAACCAACTTTTGGAAGTTCAGTATCAAAGAATTGTTTTTTTTTCAAGATAAACAATGCAATAATTAAGGACTTTAATTCAAATTTGTTTTGCAAGTTATACTTGTAAATTAACCCTTTTGTTTTTACTCTTGTTTTCTTTCAATACAGGAGAGAGTGAACTTTGAATATGAGACGTTGTTTGAGACCGGTGTTGATGAGATGTCCTGGGACGACACTGTAAGTATATATACAACTAAAGTTTTCCCAAAAATCCTTAATTTGAATGTTTTTCCCTATAACCTGTCCGATAAATTGTTATGCAGACTTGTTGGCCTGTTCTACGAAAAGTTAGCTTGTCACATATCACACACTGTGCTTCACCTCCCCATTATAAAACATTTTTAGTGTCGTTTTATACAACAATATTTTAGGAATCATATAAATTGTACTGCAAATACTTCTGCTTGAGCAGTGAAGAGAACAGTGTGATCAGTCAAGTGAGGTTTATGTGAGCATAGTGACATGATTTATGGCAATTGTGGTATTGAATTCCCAACTTGTCATTTGTTTACATTGTAGATTCATGATCATAGTGTTCTTAAAGGCCCCAAAGATTCTATAGATGGCTGAAAGCTTTTTGATAAGACTCTGATTCGCTTATTAGATTTTCTCACTGCCTGTTTCTGACATTGACGACAAAAACCCCTCAAAACTGCTTAAATTCAATTCAATTCAATTTATTTCAACCATGAAAATACAAATACAATTATTCATGGAAATATAAAAACATGGGGTTAGGAGCCCTTTTTACCTCAAACAACTATCTAGAAGATAACTAAATACTATGGGGTAGTTCATCGGAGAAAGAAGTGGTTGTCATGGGGATAGTTTGTCCTAGAGAGTAGTTTTGGGGGGATGGATGTCTTGGAGTAACATGTAAATAGCACTAATACTACCGGTACTAATGCGTGTACTAAGATCGATAACAACAGCTGTTCAGAAAAGATACCTTTCCTTTCCCAAATGTTCCACTGTCTTCTTTTTCTGATACTTATCCATGGTCTTGAGTCGTCGGCTGACCCGGCTTACTTGAGTGTGAATAGGGCCTCTAGTCAAGAGTCAACAGATACGTATAGGAAGTCGTTGCCATTTGACTGGAATGATAATGCTCAATCAGAAGTTGAATAATTTCCCTAAGCTGGCATTCTGTGCCAGAGTGAGGAAACAATTGAGGAAGTATTCTGTTCAGAGCAAGATGTGCATTAACTCTGTCGTGAAGTACTGTTGTATATGAGTTATCGCCCTTCTGGCTCCAAACGGACAGAATGCAGGTTAAAACATATGTTTATCTAAGAAGTAATTGGTTGGGTGGTTATTTTAACTGACTGCTAAGAAAGCATAAATGCTTTAATATAAGTAAGCAACCAGACGGCCGATGTCTTTAGGTCCATTCCGAGGGACCTGGTAATGAGGATTAATGCCTTACCAAAGGACACTAGCGCATCACCTTGGTTTCGAACCCGGGTCACAGGATTACGGGACCATTGCTCTACCGACTGAGCTATCGCACCTCCTTTCTCCCACACATGCACAGATTCCCTGAAAAGTTTAAAAAAAAATACATGTAAGGAAATTTAGGTAATATTTTTGTCAACCTATGGGGATTTATATTTTGAAACACAATTTGATTTACTATTTTTCCCCACTTAACATCAATGAAATAACCATTATCAGTGTTTTGATAAATTTGTTCCCTGCAATATGCATACATGCCAACTGTTCAGATTAAAGAGGAACATTCCTCTTTTTGGGAGAAGATAATTATCATTTTAATGCAGGTGTTCCTCTTCCTGTACAAATTTGTCTGTAGGATTGAATAGGAGAGTTAGGATTGTTCCTCTTTTTTTTGAAAATAGCATAATTTGTACAGATTTCTGATTTTCAAATGTTGGCATGTATGAATATGCATTGTTTCGAATATAAAGCAAAGAAATTTGAAGATTTATTTTTCTTTGGGGGGGGGGGGGGGAATGGGTATGTTGTCTCCCTGTGGTCTATTAAACTTCTCAAATTGACACAGGAATTTTAACCTAAAAGGTTGTGGGAAGCAAAGCGATAACAATGGTAACAGAAGTGGGAATTCTTTTTGAATTTCCACATCTCTTTTATTACTTAAAAGTTGATCAACTTTTATTAACCCCAGCCCCAGGGATGTTTTTTCTATTCCTCTGAGTTTCGTCAACACTTTTGTCATAAATATGTAAATTGTAATGTCTGTATAAAGTTCATGTACATACCAGCTACAGCCGAACCTTTTCCCTTTACTTCTTCGCATGAGTGGAAGGAAAAAAAGGTTGGTCTGCAATAGAATAGAAACTCTCTTTCACGGCCCATTTAGACAGGAGATGGTAAACCACCTTCCAGGAAAAACAAACTGCTGTATGAAAGTAAAATGAGATAAGCACACCACACACTGTATCTTTAATAGTGGGTAACTCTCTAATCTGCATGAAATGTTCATTAATTTAACTGGTGATTAAGAATGAAATCAACTATTGAAACACAACACCACATTTGTTTATGATTTATGAAAAGTTTCTTGCAGTGAAATTCACAGTTTATAATTTGCAAATGTTTCATGTTGCAAATTTTTCTATGTTTATAGAATCTGTATATAATGTAAGAAATTACACAGGCCATTGTTGTGCAAATCCATTATATTTCTGCCTCCAAATTCGCTTCAAGTGGTACATTTACACATTAATTTTTGCCCTAGATCAGTTTTTACTGAGTTTATACTATATAAAGTATCATGTCTGACAGGGCTTTTTAAAGTTACAAGGAAGGAAAATATAAATAGCTTAATGAAAATGAAAGTTACTTGTTGAAAATGAAAGTGACAAATTAATCAGTCCATTTTTAGTCATTTCTAAATAGAGATATTACTTTTTATCCTTTTTTAAACTCCTTGAAGTCGTGGCTCATGTAGTTTCAAGTCACTGTTTTCACATGTATTGATGTAATTGCATATTTTAGGTACCAATCACTTCAACCATTGTAGATTGCGAAGGCATATGGTTATAGATCCATTTTGTATATACGGACTGTGGCTCCTAAAATGTGAAATCGTGTATCCCCTTTCCCAAGGCTCTGTGGGAAGAAAAAAATCAGTGTCAATTTTTTAAATTGTAAAGGCAACAAAAGAATCAACTTTCATACGTCACCCTGTAGTTGTAAGATTGATTTTGACTTTATTTTTGATGCAATACATGCATGTATTCATTTATTAAGTAATTTATTTCATTTTTCATGAGTAGTAGGATCACCCCAACAGCAAAAGCTGGCTTTCATATTCTTGAATGTTATGCCTGCAATTTTTACATTTTTATGACTGAAGAGAATTACATAATGCTATGATGAAACAAGGCCATAAAAATCATTTATAAAAGTTCTTGGAATTTAATTTATAAAATCACAAAGGGGTTGACTACCTGTACATGTAACAACACAGATAATTCATATTCTGTAGTCATTGGTTGTCTGAATGATGTATGGCCTACTACGGCTTTAAAGGTATCTTTTAACAATGTTAAATCTGAGATACATGGCCCTGAATGTTATCAGTGTATGTGATATAAGGTAATATTGAGGCCCTGAAAAAATTGCGCTTCAAAATGATCATGAAATGCCTCAAAAAGTAAAAAGCTTTGAGTGACCGGTATTACTATACTCATTATCCCCAATATACTGTAGTGTAATAAAAACCGTTAGGAAACCAAATTTTTAAATTTCGATTTCTAATCATAAATATCTTGATAAGCAGACATGCGATCGGCTTGTGAAATTCATGAGATTCCTGACTGACCTAAAGGTTTATAATTATGATTGCAGCATAAGCTAAATCCAGAATTTTGTTTTTCGAATCTGAGGCAATGTTACTGAGTCACTTTAACTCTAACAGGAGCTCAGTGCGCACAAAATATAAAGTCCCCACTAGTTGCAGATATTAGGGGAGGGGGGCAACCAGTAGGTGGCTCACTTTTGAATCCAATGAGCATATGTGTACCGGTACCTTTTTAGGAGACACAAATATTCCAAATCAAAGTTCTGCAATTTCTTCGGAATTTCGCCCCCCCCCCCCCATAAAAAAATCCTGTATCCTCCACGTGCACCGGACTTGCCTATGTACAAAAGTAGGTGTGGCGTCCTGAATATCCCTTGTTGGTTTTCTTGGGTTATGCAAGGATTGCACTTTTTGCAGTGATGAGACCGAAGTGTAACCTTGCATGAATCCGTAATCTGTTTGCAATGTCTTCATAATTGTAATCTAGGTCATTGAGTATTTGGTTAAGAACACTAAAGTAGATACTATCTGACTCCTACGTGACAGATATGAACAACGTTTATTGCCAACTCTATTGCGCAAGTCCAGTTATATATTTTTGATACTATTATAACCAATCATCTCTATTTTGTCAATACAGTTATCATTTTTGCAAAATATTTTATATTTACTTGTAGAAAGCAAAACGTTATTCCACTAATCCCTTCTTTTCTACGAGCTCTTAAACATTTAGAAAATATGGAACGTATAATTGCTTTTAAGAAAATTGTCTCGATCTTCATAATAAGAAATGGCAGATATTGTGTCTATACGAACATGTTATTATTATGTATGAGAATTGTTTCAATAAATACTTTTTAAAAAGAAAGAAAAAAAATTGTCTAGTTTGTTTAAACTAGGACAAATCGTATTAATTTTATGCAGGAGAACTACCGCATGGGCGGAAGCTACCAGTGGCCATCCTTGGAAAACGTTGTCCAGTTCAGGCTCAAAGTTCGCAATGTCATCCGTAAGGTCATCGAAGACACACCCCTTGAACTTCCTGTTACGCAAGAAAGTAAATGGGTGAGTATATACCAAGATTTGGCTTATATTTCAAATGGTAATAAGTTGCTTTGAGGGAATTTAATCAGTCTAAAGATAAGAGGAGCAGATTGCTTAAAAATTTGAAGGAACTTGGATAAAGAGTGACAAAGTTTTGAAGCTGTAAGCACTCTGTGTTTGGGAATTATCAATTGGCAAGTTGATAATGTCACTGTGATGTAGTGTCAGACAACAATTTATTTACCGGTAATGATTAAGTCTGATACATGAAATGAGCAATATGATTATTCAGAATTAATGATCAAGAAGGATCTTTTTGGTATGGGGAGTTATATCTGGTAGAACTGAATGATGGCAAAGACAGGGTAAAGTATTTGGAACTAAAATGAAGTTGAACCTCTAAACCAATACCTTTCATTATCCATCTCGTTACAGTGGGCCCTCTTTATGGGCTTCGAGCATGAGCGCATCCACATCGAGACCTCATCTGTCCTGATCCGTCAGTTGCCAGTCTCCTTGGTCAGAAAGCCTGATGAGTGGGTCTCTGGACCATTCACCTTCGGTAAGAATATTTGTTGACGACAGACCCCTCTTTTCTTTCCTCTTATTGTAAACTGGTGGACTTGTTTTGACTTGTTGGTCTATATTCTGCTGATTCGCCTTAGCCCGATCGCGGGTCGAATATCATGTTTAAAGGGATTGGGTATCTTAATTTGTCTCAGATTCTAAACTAAATCCTGGATTTAATTAGCTCATGCTGCTATCATAATCATGAACCTTTAGGTCAGGCATGAATTCTGTGACTTTTACAAGACGATCGCCTGTCTGATTATCAAGATATTCATGATTGGAATTAGAAATGTCAAAAACCGTTTGCCAAACAGTTTTGAACAACACTACCATCTATAGGGGGAAATGAGTATGGTAAAACCGGTCACTCAAAGATATTTACTTTTTTGAAGCACTTCATGATCATTTTGATGCGCAATTTTTTAAAGACTTCAATATTACACCACATCATAGACACTGATAACACATAGGGCCATGCATCTCCGATTTTCTAAAACTGGAAACATTGTGAAACAATGCCTTTACAAAATTTACTAATTTCCGTTAATCCTTATTTTGAAAAAAAGCCTAAACCCACTGTCGGGTTTGAATTTTTAGTAGAGTACGGGCCATTCTTCTCATTCACTAAGATTCCTCACTCTAATGCGCTGTAGGCCATGGGTCCCCTTTTTTGGCCCCATTTTGCTGCAGCATGATTTAACGATTTGAATTTTATGGTATTTGTGCTATGAATGCTTCTTTGATATTGCATCAGGAGAGCATTATGAAAATCCATTCCAGATTGTGACCTACATATACCCTTTATTCATTTGCGTTTTGCAATACCCAAACAATGCCAGTGCGTTCACTTTTTGGCCCAGTTTTGCTGAAGCATGATAAATACTTCATCAATTAATGCATCAATGAAGTTCAAGGCAATTGTGTTGTAACATCAAATAGACGCCACTCTATTATGTGATCATGAATAGGTCTACTACCAGTATAAATTTAATATTTCATAATTATATAAAAATTGCAAGGTATATCAAACCTGGCTGTTTCGTCAACAGCTACATGTCCCAGTATTTGGTTAGACGTGTGTAAAAGATGTTGATTGGCACAGCTGATTAGACCTTTTCTGGGGTGTTTCCATTTACTGTATCACTTTTTTCTGACCCACCTGGCACTTAAATCTGACCAACTTTTTTCCTATTCATTTTCTACACGGAGGCATTTTCATGAGACAGTTTCTGTGATTGGCTTTTTTGCTAGTGAATATTCATGACACTATGCAAACTATTAAAAATCGCACAATTTACGAGCGCGGTCATCTTTTGGACGTGCGAAAAAATACGATTAACTTTTTAAAAATTTCCCGAAAATGACACTTTGAGCAACACAATGATTTTGTGATCTCCGAGGTATGCATGATATGAATGTTGATTTAGTAATATTTAAATGTTATGAAACTGACTTGTATTTGTTCTCAGGTCAGAAAGAAGTGGTACAGTAAATGGAAACACCCCCTTTTCTGGGACTGGAAGGTTCACAAAATTCAGTAATAAAAAGACTTTTGATATGGATTTTAGACCCTCAATGAGGAAGAATGTACCCTTTAAAAAAGGTGTTGTGGTCTAGTGTGTAAGTCACTTGACTGTGAATAGCAGGCTACATGGTTTGAATACCTGCCACAGCACTGAATTCCTTAGGCAAGACATTAATCTTCATTTGCCGCACTTGACCCGGGTGAGGTAAATGGGTACCTGCCAGGAATTAATTCCTTGAAATGCTAGAGTGCCGTAATAGCAGCCATTTTAAAGCTGTGGTAATAATCTCAGAGTGTCAAGTCTGACAGCCTTATCTCATATTGTGTACATAACGCCTATCTATGATTGCCCTGTTCTACTTTATATTTTACTATCTGCCGACAAAGATTGTTTGATGACATTTTGAGTTTATAGTCTGGTGACAGCTTTATGAAAAACAATTCATGTATTATGAAAAATTGTGTGAGGGATGGACTTTGTCCCAGTATACAATTTCATATTAGGCCTGTCCTCATCAGCTCGAGTTTGCCAAATAACCCCGCTATTTTAACTATCCCGATCGTAAATTAACCAGTTGAACTGCGTCTTCATCAGCCTGCAGTTGCAATTAGCGGGAACCACACTGCCAGTACCTTGTAGGACGTCACACGTAGCAGTCCACTATGTCGACGTGCAAATCTAAAAGTCCCTATGTCCCAGGAGATATGATATCAAATCCAAACAGTGTCTTAGTTTCCTCCTATCAAAATTTGTTTTCTATCAGAATAATACAAGACACTCTCAGAATTGGTTTGGGTGTCAATTGCAGATTGACACTATCATTTTCTTTTATTATTAAGTATTTGATAATTGTAACTGCCCTCCTATATAGATATACGGTATCTATCTTTAATAAATAGAATAGAAAAAAGAAAAGAAAGAAAATGGAAAAAAGGGAGAAAATAACCCCCAAAAAACAGCAAGCAAGCAAACAATTTTTTTTTAAAGTAAATAAAATGACTAGAGCATAATTGGCCCACATTTTGTATCTAATGATAAGAATGAGCATGCTTAGCATGTTTAAGGCCTACATCATAGCTCTTTTCACCCCACTTGATATTCATTTCTTCATTGTGTTTTAACATGAAATGCACTAATTTTCCATCTTTTTTTCTCCTTCCCACCAGGTGAGAGTCCTGTTAAGAACCCCTTCCTACCAGTGGAGGCGACCGAGGTGCTGATGGGGAAACCCAGGGACTTCCCCTCCTATGGCTGGGACAACGAGTATCCACAACTCAAAGCCAGGTAAAAGCCAATTAAAGTTTGACGATTGTCATGTCTATTTGCCATGCAAAGCAAATGAAATATGCTGAGGGTTCAGTGACACAAAGACGTAACTCCATATTTTGCCAAAATGAATATTTGATATCAAAATATTCAGAAAAAGTGGGCTTTTCAGGAAACACAAAGACTTAACTCCACCTAACACCCCATTGAAGTCAATGGCTAGTGAAACAGACTTAACTTCTTAAGGCCCAAGTGGTCAGTGACACATAAACCACTTTTTCTCAAAATGGCCCAAATGGAGTTACGTCTTTGGGTCACTGACCCCTTGATGTGTAACTGGGCAAGTCTACAGTGGTTTCCTATATCTATAGATATCATATTGGGAGCATACATGGACACACAAAATATAAGCTGGATATTTGGTCTGATTCAAGCTCTACTTGTAGAAGGCATGCAAATTCATACATTCATTAGATATATTCGAGTTGGTTACTTACCAGACGTGTAGTCGAAAGCTCGAGTACCCGCACGGTTGACAACTACTCGGGTACGATTTTTAGTACCCGAATATTCGGCCGCAAAAAAAAAAAAAAAAAAAACTGTCCAGGCCGACGCTTACCCGTGCCTGGGTGAGCGGCAGCCGCTGGCATGGTGCCATTGGTAAAAATGCTTCCCAACTCAAGCACTGTCAAACTCACCACTCAGAAACTGGGACCAAATGTCTGGATTTCTGTTTAGACTTGGAGGAAAATGGATAATTCTGCCATCTTTGGTTTTTAAAACAGCATTGTTTACTGTTATTATGATTATTAAATCGGCGCCTTCAACTGCAACTAAAAGTAAAATTGCATGCATTTTCGGCGATGTGAGATACTGCCCCAGTGGTATGGTGGTGGCAAAAAAAATAAAATAAATAAAAAATAAATAAATAAATAAAAAAAGATCAAAAAAATTCAAAAAAATTCAAAAAAATTATAAAAAAACATGGCGTCCGAATATTTGAGTATTCGCTTGTAAGCCTGGGAGTGTACTCGGGTACCTCATTACACTGTTGTGCACAGCCTTAGCACAGACTTGCCCTATTACTTGCAACAAGATTTTATAACAAGATAAAAATAGAATATAGTTCTTTGTGCGGATTCGCTTGCAGAAATATGAATTTTAATCAATTGTCTTTTGTCTCCTGATGGGAACAGATGAAAATGCACCTGTTTTCAAATTCCACCTTTTTTCAATGAGGCTATCATTTATTGATTAGTACTTTATCAGCAACACCACCAATTTCCACTGCAAACAGCTATTTAGTCATAACTAGTGAGATGACATTCCCTCAAATATGAATGGCCAAAAGCCACAGCAACCTTGATCATACCATGGATTTATTTATTTATTTATTTATTTATTTCGGTTTAAAAAGACATATAAATATACATGATTCAAAGGTCCAAGGACCAAAACTGTTCATGTTTACAAATTATACAATACGGTTATAAATACAGTAAATATACAATAGTGAGCCAAACGAAAGGTATGACAAGTACAATACGAAATAAAGATGACAAAAATAATACAATTCCATCAATACAATACCAAAATAAACTAAGAGAAAGTAGGGTCAAGATCATCAAATTACTAAACTGATATATGGTAATGGTAGCAGATAAACAGACAAAAATAATGTTGAGCAACCAAACAATCAAAGAAAAAAGGGGGAAAAATATTTTGAAGATAGGCAACGATAAAAGCCTTAAAACCTGAATTAACATAATTACGTTTGAGTTGATAAGATAACCACACAGAAATATATATATATTACAAATTGGAATCAACTTTAAAAATTAGTTATACAATGCCATTATTAAAATATAACGTACACCAAATTGTGAATGTGTCAATTAAAAGATTCTGAGGAATAAGGCAAGAGGGAGAGAGAGAGAGATAGAGAGAGAGAGAGAGAGAGAAAGATGATAGAGATAGAGAGAGAGAGAGAGAGAATCAAGGTTTATTAATTGCACAAACAAGAGAAGGAACAGCAGAATTTTGATATCGGCTAGTCCTGCACCTAGGAATGACCAAACCATGATTATTACGGAGGGGGCGAAAATTGGGCAAGGAATCTTTAGATGGTGGAAGTAAGTCTCTGTGTCGGGACGTCAGTAACGAGTGGGCAAACTTAGCATCAAGCTCTATTCTTCTTGCTTGAAGGGAGGGCAGATTTAGACTCTCTAGCCTTTCATCATAGGTGAGAGGGGTGAAACCGAGAATGATCTTGGTCACACGTCTCTGAACTCTCTCAACTTTCTCAGACTGTTGACAAGTGATTGAAGAAGACCAGACAGGTGAGGCATACTCTAGAATGGGACGGATATGGGATGCGTAAATGGTAACTAGATCACTACAGGATGCATTGTATTTCTTCAAGATACACAACATAAACAATCGTCTCGAAGCTTTTTGAACGACGAGATCAATTTGTTGACCCCACTTCATATTACATTGCAAAGTAACTCCTAACAGTGACAGGTGTGTGACTTCCTGAAGAACAGAATCGCCGATCTTGATTTCAGGGAAAGGTGGAGGGTTTCGCATGAAGCATATATTAAGGATCTTACATTTTGACGGTTTAGGCGTCATGTGATTTGTGCTGGACCATTGGGTTAGCTGGGAGACCTGATCTTGCAATTGTGATTGCTGAGTATGTTTTCTGAATTCTGCTAGGGTAAGGTCGTCAACATATTTCCATCTATTTGGGGTGAAGTCTGCAGCATCATTGATCATGATCAGAAATAGGATTGGGCCAAGCTTGGTGCCCTGTGGGACACCACATGTTATGGATTGAACTTGAGAGGTAATGCCACCAAGGCGGACAGTTTGGGATCTGTTACTCAGGAAGTCACACACAACGGAAATGATAGATTGACAGACACCCATATTTATCATCTTAGTTACTAAAACGGTATGATCGATAGCATCAAATGCTTTGGCATAGTCAACTGTGCAAATTGATGCAATCGTTCCCGATTTGTCAGTTTCACGCAAAATACAATCAACCAGGCTGAGGAGGTAATGTACAGTGGAAGAGCCTCTGACACTGCCAAACTGTCGGGGGTCTATATGATCGGCAATATCACGTCTAATCCACTCCACAAGAAACTCCTCAAAGACACGAGCAAAGACTGGTGTTACAGAGATAGGACGTAACTGATCCAGAGAATTGCATGGGTTTACTTTAGGAATCGGAATGATGTTACCGATTTTCCAATACTCTGGAAACATACCCGATTGTAGACAGGAATTGAAAATGATAGATAATGGTACAGATAATTCGACAGCAAACTCACGAACAAGTCTCAAAGGAATATCATTAGTATGAGATGACTTTGAGATCTTCAGTTTCTTCAATTTATTGTACACTTGGTAAGGTTGGATTTCCGGTGGTGAATCAGCTGGCAAGTACGCCGGAAGAGACCTGCGATCCAGGGGTGGTAGGGAGGAACAGACATTCACAAAGTGGGAGTTTATCCAGTCAGCCTGCTGACATGTATTGTCATCAAAGCATTCTTTAAAGGTTGCATGAACTGATTGCTTCAGTAACTACCAGTATGTGTATTGATTTTTCTGCACCGCTAAATACCAAATAGAAAGAACAAAAAACTTATTGTAGTGGATCCAAAAGCGGCTCTTTTGATCCAAATGAGCAGCTGAATGATTTTATAACTAGCTCACTCTGAGTGCACTTGTGTGTTGTATTCAATAGGGACTTTAAGATTTGCACATCGACAAAGTAGACTGCTACTGCCAGTGCCTTAAAAGGATGTCACACGTAGCAGACCACTATGTCGATGTGCTAAAGCATTATGTTCTGATGTGAATTTTCATTTTTGAGAATAACATTCATGATTCTGCCCCTCAGGGGCTGTGGTGGCCATGTTTCACTATACTGCCCTTCCATGACAAGACAGCATAACTGACATATTTTGCAAAATTGAGTTATTAAAGTGTTGGTGATCGACTCAGAACATCAAGTTATCACATGTTAAAATGAAATTTAGGATTTAAAAAAATATTGTAATTACCTATTTTGATAAGTCATTGAAACACTTTTAATAGCAAATTGAAATACATGATTTTTCCTATATCTCAGAAACACTCAAATCAATGTCAGTTATGCTGTTTTGTTGTGGAAGGGCAGCATAAGGGCAGTGGAAGGAAAATGATTGTAATGGTATAATCTAAGTCATGCATATAAATCATACATGACTGTATGGCCATGTTCATGATCATGAACACGAACGTACATGTTTGAGACAGAAAACATGTGGAAAAATTCAGTATTGAAAGAACAATAGACTTTAGAAAGTAAGATTTCATCAATAGTTTGGCTTGTGATATACTTCGTCAATATTCTCTAATAAAATGTTTTATTTGCGAATGAACGGTGGGATGAAATTTCTAGCCCCCCTTCTGACCTGGACAAGCCAAGTTTTAGTACCTGTATGTTCAAAATCAATGCCATATCACTGCCGTTTTCCCCACGTGGTATTTATTAGGGTATCTGGCTTATTTTATATAGATGTACATGCAAGTAATGTGATATCTTCTGTTTGTCTGTATGCAGTGTTCCAAGCTTTGAAGCTAGTAAATTCCTGATCACAAATAGAGAGTTCCTGAAATTTGTCCAGGCTAAAGGATATGACAACGAGGGGCTTTGGAGCAAGGAAGGCTGGAAGTGGCGGACGTTCCGCCAGGCCAAGCACCCGTCATTCTGGGTGTGTAATGAAGGTACGTAGTCCCTTTTTAACAACTACATGAACATGGAAATGACATTCCAAAGTGGAAAATTGTTCAAATATGGCCAAAAAAAATACTAGGTTTTTTTTACAAAAAATGAATGCTTATTGGGTGTAATAAAGGCCTTATGCATATTTAGTAAGCTTTGAGTTATGAGATTTAGAAATGTAAAGCATATTACACTTAACGTTATCACACACAAACAAAAATCTGATGCTGTTTTGCCTCGTCATATCTAAACGAGCCAAGCCTTAACTGAACCAGAAGTGTTTGTTATTGTCGTGAATTCATGTTAATGACTATCTGCGGGTATGTAGTATGTACAATTGATAGCTGTCATATTGCTGTGTTTTTATTTGTTTTGTAGGTTGTGTATCCGGCTGTGGAGGAGTGTTGGCTGGTCACTCACATTGTCAGCCAGACGTGAACCAAAACACTTCCACTTACAGGTAATTCATCCAGGCGTTACAAAAAACCATTAGATGAACTCCTTATTCCAAATAACAAGAAAAATCAAACCTGCGATGTTATTTCTTGTGTATCTTTTGTTATTCCTGCTAACCTATTGGACAGGAAATAACCAAATATACTTATGGAAGTTTTGCCTTAACCAATTAGCAACTAGAGATTTTGTAAAAATTGCCTATTACTCACTGGAAGATGTTGCAATATTGCTCTCATTTTGACACTGTTCTGAACAATATGAAACATGCGCTATTTTTCTATGCAGAATCCTACTGTAGACAGCGTAAGGATTACGCATGTATGAAATTATTACGGTAGACTCCATAGAAGGATACTACAGCGCGTTGAAAACAGGCAGGCGATTTCGGGCGGTTAGATGAGTAAAAGGAGAGGCGGTTTTGGGCGGTTTAGTTGCTAAAGGGTTAATTAAAAGACACATGCCTGAGAAAATGGATGGAGGAAATTTTAACATTGATAATAGTTGAGAGACATATCCCACCGCTGCCACCGATATCATGAAAAATTAATAAAATCAGTTTTGCTTTAGCGACAACCCAAATAGAAAAACCATGTGTGTTTAAAAAACGCTTTTTCCCCCTGAAATGGTTTCTCATTGAAATGTGCACTGAAGGAACCTGTAACATAAAGGCCACCTGCCTGTAAAGACCACATCTCTCATCTCCCTTGAGCGGTCTCGATAAATAAGTTTCGCTGTATTTAGAGTTTCACTGTTAAGGGAAATCTAACCAATTTGTGCTGAAAGAAAACAAATGTAGGAGCGGAGTGTTGAAAGTTTGACCTAATCAGAGGATTGATAAGGAAAGTTCTGAATTTATGACAAATGCAGTCACTATACATTTCAGAATTTGAAACCAGGAAATGGTAATGTCACTATGATGTACTGTTATATGATTGGTCCAATTGTGCCATCACACATATGACAAAAATCTTATTTTTCAAAAATTTTGAAAAAATAGAACTTTTTGTTTTGTGAGGAAATATTACAAGGTGAAGATAATTTCATGTTCAATAATTGGAAGAGTTGTCATTAATTCAGCTGGTTAGAAAGGTTGGATTGCCATTGAATTGTAAAGTGAGGCTGAACATGCCCTGTGGTAAGGCATTAATCCTCATTACCAGGTCCCTCAGAGAGGACCTAAAGCCTCTGTCCTCTGGTTGCTTACTAACAAGCAATTATGCTTTCTTAGCAGTCAGGTAAAATAACCACCACTAGTCAAGAAATGAATGGGCCACCAAGAGGAAATTTGCGCAAACGAATTTCATGAACATTAAATTTGACTGCTTGTTCTTGCGTAGGTATCGATCATTCTGTGAAGAGACTGCCATTCCTTGGGACTGGCCAGTGGAAGTGAACTACCATGAGGCGAAGGCCTACGCAGCCTGGAAAGGTCCAGACTACAGACTGCCCACTGAATCAGAGCACAATGCCATGAGAGATCAACAGGTAATATAAGATGATGACGTGGATCCTAATCAAATGACTGGTTGAGAGCGTACACATGACCAGGCATTTATTTTGCCTAACACTTAATTTTGATAATGACCGGTCATTATCAAATGCTAATGACTGGTCATTAGTCAAATCATGTTATGAAACAAATAAAACATAATCTTATAAAACAAGAAATACACATCAGATTATGTGAATATCCAGGAAAGATGTTGCTCATAAAAAAAGGGATATAGCTTTTCAACATTCTCATCAGCAATTTGATGAAAAAATATAGCTGGACCCTTACAAGAATGATTTCAGGAATGAAAAGGCTTTTGTTGCATAACCTAAAGTCAAAGCATGCATATATGTGTAGTTCAAAACTCTTTATCCCATATTCCATAATCCACAGAGAGCCCCCCCCCCCCCTCCGCCCCTCCCCCAAACATAATTGCGTACTGCCTTCGCTTATTCATGTATGAATGCCATTTAATAAAAATCAGCAAATATACCCCCCCCCCCCCAAATAAGTAATGTTTCAATGCCTGATACAACATCATCCAAACAAAGATTCAAGTGAAATATATACAATCCTATGTGATATATTACACTTGTCTTGATACTGCAGGCTCCCAACTCCAAAGGAACAGAATCAGACCTGATTTTTGACAAAGAGCTGCACAAGAAATCCAACATCAATCTTGTCTTTGGCACATCAACAGTAAGTATAGACTCCATAAGCCTGTCCTCATTAGCTCGAGTTTGCCGAGTAACCTGCTATTTTCAGACTCTGGATATTATCCCAAAGCTCAAAATTGTATCTTCACCAGACAGATACGCTCATCACAAACTTCCCAAATAGCAGGATATTTTGGAAACAAGACCAAGATTTATCAGGATATTTTATTGACCAAATATTCTGTGAGTTGCAACTGCGGGCTGATGAAGACGCAAATTAACTGGTTAATTTGCGATCAGGATAGTTAAAATAGCGGTTTATTTGGCAAACTCAAGCTGACGAAGACGGGCCTTATAAGAATATATATATATATATATATACTTGTGGAAAGCTTCAATTTGAATTGAACCAATATGTCATGTTTTTTCAACATTTGTAGTACAAATGTAATTTGAGATATACAAGTACATGTATTTCTAAACTATGGAGTGATGTCCAATAAACTTACTGAAAATGTTTTATATAGTGTTACTTTCATTCAATCTAAATACAAAGACAGTTGAAGATAGAAAGCACAGTTGATAATTTAAACTCACCTCCTGTCTACAGAGAAATTTCTCGTCGACATAGAGAGGTCATTATACACAAGTTCACTTTAATGATGATATTCTGCTTGATACATCAACAATTTTTGTAAGCGCTTTACAGATGTATCATTACCCTGATCATTGGATTCAGGCTTTCCCGCGCACAAAATATGCACGTTTTGTACTCCATGGGGAGCATTCCAGCCAGGCACCATTTTGCAGATGCTCACAATGCTGAGCAAACTATGTTAACGTTTGAATCCTACCAGGGCCCCATTTAACAAGTGGGTGGAGAGTGGCAAATAAAGAGAACCGTCCTGCCAAAAGATGCTATTGCCGGGCGAGGATTTTAACACTGCACCTTGTGATCTAATAATAATAATAATAATAATTCTGCTTTTATATAACACTTAATACGTCTATGATGTCTCTAAGCACTTTACATACATAATATAACCCTGTCATTGGATTCAATACTTGCCGCACACAATGTGTGCACAATCTCCACTCCCTGGGGAGCATTCAAGCCAGACGTTACTTGACGCTCAAAAACTGCTTGACCAACAATGGCGGTCGCATCCTACCGGGTACCTATTTAACACCTGGATGGAGAGTAGCAAGTGCATGATAATTTTTTGCCAAAGGATATTAATGCCGTGTGTCAGGATTCGAACCCTTGACCTTCGCATCTCCAGTCAAGCGCCTTAAACCACTCGACCATGACACTCCTTATACTCCTTATCTACCGTTTGGTGACTTATCCCCTAGACCACAACACCTCCACAAACATTACATTCGCCCTTCTTAACTCATTGCCTACTGGAAGGAACTGAGTGGTCCCCGTATTGTGCCTATGGGAAAGAGAGAATTCAGTAGTCAAAGGGTTAATACATGTGTATCTTTCTATCCTTCACAGCCGGTCAACATGTATCCAGCCAATGAGAAGGGTTTCCATGATGTCTTTGGCAACGTGTGGCAATGGGTGGAAGATCACTTCAATGGCTTCCCGGGCAACGAGACACACCATCTCTATGATGACTTCTCTTCACCAACCTATGATGGCCATCACAATATCATCCTCGTAAGGATTTCTTTATTACTTGATCTAATACTCTTTCATTTTCACTCAGTTTGATATTTTTTTTGCTTGTCATCTTTGCTAAATTTGATACATTCTCATTTGTATCTTATACCGTGCATTTTTATTTGCATTTGATTTTGATAGATTTTCATTTTTACTTGCTTTAATCAAGGATGCCAGTTTTCAGGCCCTGGTGAGTTATTTTCAGACCATAGTTTAGGCTTTTTATGCCTCTGTTACGAAGTAGCCGGAGGCATTATGTTTTCGGGTTGTCCGTCCGTCCGTACGTACGTCTGTACGTCTGTACGTACGTACGTCCCGTTCTTGTGATCGCGTTATCTGAAGAACCGATCGATGGATTCCTGCCAAACTTTGGTCATGTATGTATCTTGCAGAGCCGATGAACTGATTAGATTTTGGGGTCACGAGGTCAAAGGTCAAAGGTCACAGGGCTCATTAGGTATGCAAAAAAAGCTCGTGATCGCGTTATCTCAAGAACCGATTGATGAATTGCTGCCAAACTTAGGTCATGTATGTTACTTGCAGAGCCGATGAACTGATTAGATTTAGTGGACATGAGGTCAAAGGTCAAAGGCCACAGCACACATTATGTATGCAATAACAGCTTGTGATCGCATTATCTCAAGAACCGATTGATGGATTCCTGCCAAAATTAGGTCATGTATGTTAATTGCAGAGCCAATGAACTGAGTAGATTCTTGGTTCATCAGGTCAAAGGTCAAAGATCATGGGCTCATTATGTATGCAAAAATAGCTTGTGAACGCATTCTCATTAGAACTGACAGATGGATTACTATTTAACATCTTGCAGAGCCAATGAACTGAGTAGATTTTAGGGTCATGAGGTCAAAGATCAAAGGGTCATATATGTATAAGAGAAATTGCTTGTAATCACGATATTCTGAGAACCTGTCAATGGATTACAATTGAACTTGAATCCGAAAAATTTCTTCTGTTTTGGTTTGTAAAATTGCTCTATGACGGAGGCATCATTTTCGACTGCGCGCAGTCGAATTCCATCTAGTTTGTGTACAAAATAGCTCATGCTAGGTGATTTTCATGATCCTGTTGAGCTGGCATCCCTTTTTAATACATATTTACGTTTGCTTGCATGTGCCCGATTTGATAGATTTTAATTTTTACTTGATTTAATGCATTTCATTTCTACTTCATTTAATGCATTTTAATTTTTCCAAGATGTGATACATTTGCATTTGTGCTTGATTTGATTGCCTTGTCACTTTATCTTTCTCTATCAGGGTGGGTCATGGATGTCGACAGGTGACGAAGCCTCAAAGTTTGCTCGTTACGCCTTCAGGAGACATTTCTTCCAGCATGCAGGCTTCCGATTAGCTCGTTCTGCTTCACCAGACCAAGATGTGCCCGTCAGACTTGTGCTCAACCCAGCTCAACAGGATCACGGTATTTAGTTTTCTATTTGACATCCGTAAACGTGATTGTTGAAAATGTAAAAAAAGGGGTAAAAGCATAGAAAGAATTCTTAATTTGATTTTTTCTCCCATATAATACTTTGTCCTGGGCATGTACATATTGAGCTTTATGACCAATCAAGTGATTTACTGCATGACATCTAGTTTAGAGGGACTTGAAAAATAAAGTTGAGTTCTGGTTATGCGATTGCATTGTGAAAGAAACGTTGTGGAATCGATCAGAAAAGGTTGATCATCTAGCATTTAGGTATTGGTGTGTACTGCAAGGTTCTGGAATCATCAAAATGATAAGAAATTTGGCCCAGTCATGATAAAGTTACAAGCACTGTACACAGAAAGATGTATATGGGACTACACAAACATGTGGCATACAAATCTGTCCCGATTTTTATGATGTTACTTGCCATATTTAGAATATGAAGGCATTGGTAGAGCCATGCATTTCAGGGAATGTTTCTTATCTTATGTTCTTCCACACCTGCGTAATACAATGATAACGCTCGCAAATTATTTTCACCTCTTCCCAGAACTCAACCGTCTCTTTAAGTCAGAATCTCTTGAAAAATATTTTTTCTCTATACCCTAAACTCAAGATTGTCTTTTATTATGAACCCTCAGAGGTATCCCCAAAGTGACTTACTGCATGACATACAGTTTCGAAGGACCCTTAAGTCAGAATCTCTTGAAATACTTTTTCGCTGTATACCCTAAACTCAAGATTGTCTTTTATTATGAACCCTCAGAGGTATCCCCAAAGTGACTTACTGCATAATACATAGTTTAGAGGGACTATAAGTCAGAATCTCTTGAAAAATATTTTCTCTATACCCTTAACTCAAGATTGTTTTTTATTATGAACCATCAGAGGTATCTCTACCCCTGGAAGACACGACCAAGAAGCTCGTCCTCACCACCAACCGACAGCTTCTGACGGAGACCCAGACCTGCGCCGATGAGCGCCTCTTCAACGAGTACGTCCTCGACGACATCAATCTCTCCTCGGCCCTGAGGAAAGTGTGCATGGGCGTGGCCGAGAGACACGGAACCAAGGTGTCCCGTGCCCTCGACGTAGGGTGCGGGTGTGGCAGACTGACCTTTGAACTTTCGAGAGAGGTTGAGCAGGTAGGTGCTTCTTTATGGGGCTAGGTTAATGCTTTACAGGCTAGGTTCTTCTTGTGAAACAAACAGAGACAGCCACAGTGGACTTTCATCACAGGTACAGTCCTGGTATCCATAAGGAATAAAGCGGCAACTTGACAATTCATCCCCTTCCCCATCATCCGCAGCTCATCCTTGGAGTGATGCACTATTTTAAGATATTGGAAATAGATCTTATTGTGCATATGCATGGGAAATTGCCCATATCTCCTTTCATGATCTAATGGATTATTGAATAATCACTAATTGATTATTGTAACTATTACTGATTATTTATGCAACTGAGGATGCATAACTTCCCTGCATTGTCTACAGTGTACTCTTATGTGAGAAATATATTTCTATTTTTGTTTCGCTTCACAGAAGGTGTTTTTATTTGAAAGATAGGATATGCCCGATCTCATTAAATTCCCCTCTTTTTTCCTATGCTGCTTGTAAAACACTTCTCGAATGTATACTTTCTTTAAAAAAAACCTGTCAATTTCTGCCACATTGTTTTAATTCAGGTGATTGGTTTAGAATACTGTGAAGTGTTTCTGAAGTCGGCTGAGGAGATTCTTTCCAACAAACAGAAGGTTTTCTACTGTCCCAAGGATGACTGTCGACGACCCGCCAAACGCCTCAAGAAGTCCACGCACAATGGCTGCACCATCACTGCAAAACTACCCTCGGGTACCCAGCCTTCCAGGATCACCATGAAACAGGTTAATATAATAACCCAGATTTATGTACCTCGTATATAGCTCCGATTACGAAACACCATCTCTAAGCGATTTACATGTATTATTACCCTGTTCATCAAATTCATGCATGCATAATGTGTACCACCTCCACTCCCTGGGGAGTATTCCTACCATATGGTCACTGAGAGGGCATATAGCAATTACGAACACCAAGGTTTTCGTCCTCCTACCAGGTCCCCATTTCTCTCCTGGATGTATGGAGTGGCAAAGACATCTTGACTAAGAATCAAGATTTGACAAGAGTTATGAAAACCAGAATAAAACCAAACAGCTTTTAAAGAAATATTTCTAGTCATAGACTTTTCATAATTCTTAAAATAAAGGATGAAAGATAGTTTGTGCTGTCTTTAAATTCTATTGACACAATACATTCAATTGTGAGACAAATTTTGACGCAGAGACTATTACAAAGCTATTTAAAACCTAAACAAATAATATGCATTTCCTTTCCTTAGAAACTTTGTCCAAATCCTCTTCATTGATGTATATTTTACTTGCAGTTTACATGGATCCCCAATGAGGTCAGTGGGTTTGACCTGGTGGTACATCATTGCTTAGAAAGAGTACAGAACAAGAAAGGTAGGACAGAGTCTCGAGGCTTCTTTTGCTTCATTCATTCTCACATCCTTCTATGAAAATTGATCGCAATAAACTTTGCTATCAGTTTTTATTACCAGTGTGATCGACTCTCAGCCTCAGAGCCAATTCAAGTCACCATTCTTCATTCATCGCCCCCCCAAAAACACCAAGTTTCTGTTTTGGTTGGTACATTGTGGACACTCGATGGATATATCAATTCAATGTTAGCCAACGATGGCTGATGTTGATTTCGCCACATTACTGTTGATAACTTACATCCCTACCTTCACGTTGGTTGTTGAAGGTTTCCTGGTGAAATATGATTAGTTTCTGAGGTGAAGGGTCATACACAAAATCTTCTCTTTGCAGTGATTGATGTGAGTATATGGGTCTTTCTTTGTCTATCTCGTCTGTGGTAAGAGTGTGTGGTAAGGTTCCAATAGAGTACCAAAGTTGTCAAGTTTGCTGGTTCCAAACAATGTTGTGCTAAACAATGGTGTGGTGATCACACCAGCCCCAAACACTAAATTTGCCCTGCTCCAGCCCGTTGCTTGAATGATTTTGCAGGCTCAGTCGTTAAGAACCAGTAACCTGGGCAGCATTTCATGAAACAGTCATAAGTACAAGTTCACCGACATCCTATTGAAACACCTGTTAAACTTAATTCATGCATTTCAATGGGATGTCGGTGAACTTGTACCTATAACGGTTTCGTGAAACCAGGACGATAAGCGAATATTACGTTGGCACTTCGGTTCTCTATGATAGATGTGAGGTTGTCCAACAGGTTTGATTCTGCACACTGACAATGGTCTATGTCAGTGATCTGCAAAGATGACTGTTGTATTGTGTAAAATGAAGTGCATGCAGTAGTGTGATTTTAAACCAATGTCCTGTGAAAGCTCTGTACACAATACCAATGGATGACAGCAGAGGCAACTTGATAATCCTTCAATCTCGATATAACGGTACATTTCCAACGCTTTATTCTTGGATGACACACATTGAGTTTAGCACTAAGCTTCACTTATACTTAAATGCCAGCATTTAAGGCTCACATTTGATTAATTGCGATTAGTTTGAATAACTGAAATTTGATAACTAAAATTATCTGAAGTGGAAAATCATTGGAATGTGAAAATAATCATCCTAGTCTAGATTGAAACCAGACAATTTCTAATCTTATACAATTTAAGTCTGAGATTACTGATTTCATAAATATTTATTAAAAAAATAAGTAAAGAATTAAATTAGTACCGGTAATAACAATTACTTGTTTCCTATTGAGACTGGAAAAAGTATTACTTGTATAATATTTTAGCCTTTTTTAAAAGTCATAGTATCCAGTTTTCGAAAGAAAAGCAGGCTATTGGTTTATAATGAAATGGGAACAAAACCAACTCGCATTTTAATTTTGTGCCATATATCACAATGATTGAAATTAGCATTTCCTCAATTCAAGAATTGTTACATTTTAAAGATCAAAGGACGTTCTTTTTCATACTGGATACTGTAGGGAAGTTTGATTGTGATTATACTTCTTAATGCAGTGTGTTTTCATTCATCATTCATCATGATATCTGTGTTTACATCTTTGTGTATCCTCTTTCCCCATTTCTGTAGTCTGGCGTATATTTCAGATCACTCGTGTTCATTTGCCGATCGACAAGATCATTTAATTCAATTGTTCCTTTTCTTTCCTGATTTTTCTCTCTATTTTATACAGGTCAAAATGTATGTAAAGCACGGTCTATCATGATCATCCCTGCAAGTCTAATTATTCCTTAAATGAAAAATTAGGATAGGTGCCCCTAAACAAAACCAGAACCCACTCCAAGACATGGCTGAATAAATCATTCAGAGTTCTCATGAACCAAAATCATACATCCTTTGCAAGTTACTGTTCTTATCTGTGCTTTTCTAGCTTTTTAGTTTTAACAAAAAATAGAATACTATTTGGATAGCAGCGGTGGGATACACAGTGAAGAAGAAAAAAAGTATACAATTTTTAAAACACGAATCTTTTGCAGCTGTTAATTAGGACTGTTTTCAAGACAAGAAATGTTTGCAAATTCCTAATAGTCACCTGTTCATGTTGCAATTGTATTTGTTTTTCTTCGTATTTTACATATTACCCGGAAACCTAATGCCAAAATCCATGTTTTTAATCATGCAATGATTTTTTAGGTGTAGGTTTCATAGCGTATATACATGTAGATATATTATTGCTAGATTATACCCATATACTTCTATAGTTATATATACTTCTATAGTTATATATACTTATATAGATCTGTTCTACATCCAGGCTATTTGCATTAGGGGTATTTAAAGTTGTTTACGTCATGTGAAAGGGATGGAAATAGTATAAATGTGAAACAAAAATTGAAAATGATCTTTTAAGGACACTTTTATAACCTTGAGTGTACATATTGAAATATTACTATTAGGGAAAAAGAAGTAACTTGCAAAGGAAGAACACAGTTTCATTTTCATTCATTTTCTTGGAATTTCATTGGCTTATGTTTCTTTCATAAGCCTCCTGGATTTTTGTAATGGAAAAACCCAATGATAGGAAGGGTATACATGTTTGTTTCATGGGGATACAAACTGTTTTGAAGTGGGTTCTGGCAAATGATCCTGACAGTCGCTGAGCAAGACGTGACAATGGCGTGAAGGATATCTTTCATCTCTGCAAGTCTAAACGTCCCTCTAAAATAGTTCTTAAACATTAGATCAAGGTTAAAATCATCATGAAAATGCAATCTGGAAATGCAGATATAAAAGAAATATCAATACTAGAATAATGTTCCAACTAAAAACGCTTAAATGGAAATTCATGACATGAAAATAGAAAAATCATACATTTACACAGACATTAGGATCATGGGAAACCAAGTTCTCTGGTTTGTACTATGAGCACATCCAAGATGAGTTTGATTTAGTTATAGTCTCTTTTATAGATAATGTTCACTTCAATGAACTGGCTGTAAGATGCATTGCCGACAGCAGCAACACAATAACGTTCGGTAGTACTGTCTGGATGTGTTCATAGGAAACGTATTCAATAAGCAATATAAACTTCCTATATGGGAAGTAAGAAAAACAAAGCTTGAATTCATTACATTCAATTCAATAAAAGATTTACACTAAAGTTTTTATTTTATTCAAAGCATTTCCATATTGCATCTATCTGTGCTGGTCAAATTTTGTCTTGTGAAAAACACAATTTATTACATTCATTATTTAATAATTTAATGGTCAATGAATTCGTCTATGAATAAAAACATCAGCTGTATGTAACTTGTGACAACAAATACCACTTGTTCAATATTTAAAATGTGCATTTTTATGCCAAAGAAAGTAAAGCGTTTTTTTTAAAGAGGAGTGAACTGCAACATTTAAAGAGAGAAAGAAAAAAAGAGAAAAGAATACCAAGACAAAGTTTGATACCCTTTGAAAAACTTTGTTTAAGTTTCAAAAGGGTCAGCACAGAATAAATAATAATAATTTAAAACTAAATTTGTTTAAATAATAATAATAATAATAAAAATTAAAAAATTAAAAAAAATCTCATCTAAACTGATGGAGCTTGGTAAAGGGTAAGAAATATTTCAATTTTTTCTTCAGTTTTATTTTATTTTTGATGTTTTATATACCTATTTCTTTTTTTAACCTGCATGTTTATATGCATTTATTCTAGTAAGGATCCTTTCTAAGATACTATTAAACATATAAACACTGTATGATCAGAAATATATTGTTATTGGAAATTCATGTTGGCCGAATGCACATTCGAGGGTACACTAGACGTCTACTGCAAACTATCCAGAACGTTTTTTTCTTCAAAAATTAAAAAAAAAAAAAAAACGCCTTGGCCCTGGAGCTTGTTGAATTAGATCTCCTGAAACCGTGGTCAGCCTTTCAAAAAAGTGTTTAATGGTATCTTTAAATCCCTATTATTTTATTTCATACTTAATTAAAGGGAAAACACAGGAAACTATCAACCGACTTCGTGTGTTTTCCTTTTGCCACATTTTTTTCTTCTGTTAATCCATTAATCCTCGAATTGGCAACTCCAGAGTTTTGTTCATGTTTCAGAAGTTGCCATTGAGAAGAAAGGAAATTATTTTCAGATGTTCTGGGCCATTTTGATGAACCTAGTCGATTGTCTCTGGGAATTCCAGAGGCTACTGACAAAGCTGCAATCTTATAGTGAAGCAACAATTGATGTTTATGCTCTGACGTAAAACATGGATTTAGATGACCATTTAACACTGCAACATGCGGATGTGTATATGCAGAACATTTTACAGTCTTAGATATGATTCAATACAGAGGAGATAACAGCCTGAACCTCAAATTATCGAAAGAAAAATCTGATATTTTTGTGGAAAAAAAGACAGCATACTATTGGAATCTGTTGTGTTTAATTCCCATGAAAAAATAAATGTGAACTATTTGAAAATGAAGTTACGTTGCGAGCCAATATCAGTTGTTGCTTTACTCTTCGATCCCCTTTCTTCTTTCTCCATTGGGAACAAGTGCAATGTTCTTTTTCTTCTTGTATTTCATTTCATAACCATGTGGTGGTCATGGGATATGACAATCATTTGGTTAGTACAAAATGAAAGCGTATTCAGCATGCAATGAGCACGTCATGATCATGCATGGATCCGATCATGCACTTCACAATGTCTAATGCATGTTTGAATCAATGTTTTTCTACTTAATAGCCTGGCTGATCAGACTTTGGGAGATTCTTAATCCTAACGGCATTGTAGTCATCTCTGGACTCGGCGACTGGACAAGAGAGAAACTCGAACCGATGGTCGGAGATAAGTAAGTCTCTTTTAAAGCCCCACTGCACTGCTTATAGCTACTTTCGCCCTCAATATAGCAAACAATGCCTAATCAGTGACCTTTTTTAACACCCTGACTTTCCTTCCACAGCATTATGCATAATCTGAGTGCTATAGGCCTGTTTCATAATTTCATGCAAACTTCTTGAAGAAAGGATTCCCTTGACAACTGTTAAATATGCCAGAGTGTTGCCAGACATAGCAACTGTTAATGTGTGCAAGTGGATTCCATCTGTAGAGACGCCATTTTGTATAGCAGATTTCTTTGCATACATTGTAGGTCTCGCAGATTACGAATGGGATAACATCTTAAGAATTTTTTGTGTGTGTGGCCATATTGCAATCTTCAGTAGCAAACATTGTGAATGGCTGGGTTTTGTAGTGACATGTCACATATACACGGACCAATAGATGAATCAATAGTGGGATACATAACATAACAGAGTGTTACCTATGACCTATTGTAGTTGTGGGATACAGTTCTCAGAGGTGATAAAGTCAAATCATGGTTGTTTCTTTTTTCTTCAGGTTGCGTTACCTCGAGACGTTAGCCGTGCACTATGGCTTGGACTACTGGCTGACCGAAGCGGACAAGGAAACCTGGGCCACCGTGTGGTGTCTGAAGACCAGAGAAGATGTCCAGTCTGCCTAGACCACGCCCGCTACCCCGTCCTTACAGTAAGCTGGCAGCTGGATCCGTGCACCATTGGAACGATTGTTCCAAATTCACCAAAGAAAATGTTCATGCTCCTCAGAGTCCTCACCTTGATAATTTAGAAGAGGTACTTTTGTGAATGATCTGCATTATTCTCAGATTCTATGATGTTATTAATCTTGTACATATTGTAAGGTGGATATTAATGTTTACAGGATAATCAATCATGCATGTTCATATTAAAGCTTATCTGCCATAGTTTACAGGAGGGATTAGACCGCCCTACAAGGTCAATGGACAGGTGGTTATCTCATCAACTCAGCTCTCAGTTAACATAAGAAAAAAAGGATCATGGGGGACCAATGGTCACCGATTAAGCATTGTTTGTTATATAGAGGGCGCAAGTAGCTACAAGTAGTGCAGTGGGCCTTTAAATGGATTTCTTACCTTTTCATTGAAAAAGAAAAGAATGGAATTTGTTTACTGTTGGTTAAAGTTAATCAGTATATACATGGAGTTAAGCCATAGGTTTAGATGGGGAGGACTAAGCTATATTGTTTATATTTTTTGAAGTATGCATTCAAAATTCATATAACCCTTGTCGTTTCTTTTCAAGAGTTCTCTCATGCTTGTAGCCTTTGTATTTCTTTTTCCCAAGTTTCTGTTCTCTCTATTAACACCAAGTGTTTATTTCAATGCCAATCTATCTTTCTAATCATTACCTCGTTGTTATGCATTTTCTACTAAAATCAGTCGGCAGTCATACATGTAATTTATCTACAGTCTTGTCGATTCTTAGATATTTCATCGATTGACAATCAAATAGCCTTTAAAGTAAACTATGTAGATGTATTTGTATATATATAATTATGGAAATATAATTATTTTGTTGAAAAAAAAGTTTTTTACCTTTGTGCCAACCTTAATTTTGTTTTAAACCATTCAGTATAGACCTGTAATAAGCAAGAGTACTGACAGGCCAACAACAAGCACGCTGTCAATGAAAGAAGCTCATAGCGTAATTTGAAACAGCGCCCTCTGTCTTGATCCGTTATGAAGGTACAAGGGCATTAGTTAATTGAAGATGACATTTGTAAAGAAAACATGTTTGTGCGATCCCCATAAAGTCATAAGTAGTATGGAGTGTGGATATATTCAGAGTGTCAAATATTTAATGAATATAAGCATGACTAATTACATGGAGATACAGAATGTATGCTGATCCAATTTGGAAAATTAGCCATAGATGTACTTTATTCCAAGAAATGCATTTTTGCAGTCAAACCTGCTTTAGTGACCACCTGTCTACAAATACCACATTTTTGTTTCCCTTGAAAATGGTTTCTCATTGAAACATGCACTGAAGGAATCTGTCTACAAAGACCACTTGTCTACGAAGACCACTTTTCCCTTGGGCGGTCGCTATAGACAGGTTTGATTGTATAATGAAATACTCTAATTTACCATAGGTAAAATAGGGTGTGTATTTCAAAAATTTAGAAACACAACAGTACTTTTATCTAGAAGTTGTATTCCAGTTGATTATAATTCGTTGAACTGTGTTGGAAATCTTTCATCAACCAATAATAGGATGGTTTAGCGCTTTCACTGGGCTTAAAATGCCTCTTGTTATACCTTTTGTATGCAGCTCAGTAAATTAGATTGATAAAATCATATACATATATATATATATATATTTCTACAAAATGTAATTTCGGGTAGAAACTAAATGCAGAGTGATTCCTTTGTTTTAAAAGGATTTTATATTTTGCTAGATCAGTATTTATATGAAAGATACATGTAGCGTGATGAATAACTGCAATTCTTTCTTTTTTTACATTTATGTTACGTACCGTTTTTTCAAAGAGAAATCATGTGTAGAAGGTGATGTTTGTATAATTATGCTTCAAAATATTAATATGCATTTCAGTGACATTTGTCAATTCTACCTTATGCCTAGATGAGGTTATTCCAGGAAACAATCCTAAAGTTGACGCTAAAATTCTTGTATACAGATTCAGTGAGCAGTTTTTGCTATAAAAAAATGAAGCTAGGATAGCGTGAGGTGTTTTGCTAGTTTTTTTTTTCAACCGATATGTTTTGTTCTGTGTGAATGTTTGTATTGAGAAATGATTATACAATACTTATCATGTGCTATGCACAAGTATAATCTAAGATTTTTGATGGCAATTGTGGTTAAAAGAAAGGTTATTAGTACAGCCAGTAGGAGCTTTGTGTAACACTATTTTGATGTTTGTATTTGGAACCTGTGTTTTGTTTGTATATTAGATACTGATGATAGGTGTGATGTGAGGTCAAATAGATGAACAATATACTGTTGTGCAGAAAGAATGTTCTGACCATTTTGTAAAATGTTAACCCAAACCAAAGAGCTATAAGATGTTCAGACTGGTGGGGGTGGTTATTGTACCTGACTGCTAAGAAAGCATAAATGCTTGTTAGTAAGCAACCAGACGGCAGACGGCTTTAGGTAAGATGTTTCCAAATTGCTCTAAAATTGGTCTCCTCGTTGGAAAGTATAGATCACACATCTGCAATATAACATTAATGGCTTCTTCTATAGTGCTCATGTCACTGAGGCATTATGACCCTGGTTGTAGCTGGGCTGCCAAAGTAATCTACATTTGCCACTCTCCACCCAGGTGAAGTAAATGCATACCTGGTAGGAAGAGAATTCCTTGAATCCTTTTCCGCCTTATTATGGCGCAGTAGAATATACTCGTACAGTCGCTACGCTATATTATAAATGGACATATTATACATGTATTATCATATTTAGGCAGTGTCACTCGCGCTGCATCCATTTTATTATTACCATTATATCATAAATGCATATAATTTATGACCAACATCTAACCAACCCTTTTTGTGTATGTTTACATGTAACCCATTAGGACATATTTCGTAATAAACCAAATTCAATGCATGCGTCTTGAAGAAGTGCCTCCATACAAATTATTTTATTCACCTGTTACAAATGATTAGATTTCAATAGTTGGAATGCAAATTGCATGTTGGTCCTGTTGGTATTGGTTGCAATTTGAATTCTGACTTGAAAAAAATTCACAAAGATAAATGCATTAAAGAAAAAACTAACCTTAAAAGACAGCTACTCTAAAACAAAGCAGATAAATCAGAGAAGCGGGCTGGTGACAGTTTGAACAAAATCGGGCCCGCAAAAAAGAAAGTTTTGAATTTTTGAAAGTTGTAATCACTGTACGTATGGGCACTTCTAATTGGCTGAATTGGAAATGTCATGGTTACTTTATAATAGGTGTTGCAAAACTTTCCCATTTGTGCCAACCCACAAAAATTA